TGGCTTGAGGATCTTTTACATGCCAAGTAAATCTACAACATGGACAGGCCGGCTTACTTCCCCTCGAAGGAAGGCGTACGAAGGATTTTTTCGCCCTTAAAAATCCACGGTTTTCGATCGGGCTTTGAACCCGCCAAGTTGGGTACAACAGTCCAGTACGCTAACCGTTACACCATCGCCGCCGCACAAGCCGAGCCGCCGAGGTTGATCCGGCCGGGGCGATACCGCTCTGCCGGCGGTGAAATCCACGAAAGTTGACCATCTAGCGGGGGAGAAGCACAGTTCGTGATATCACCTGTGATAAAATATGCACTACACTTACGGGGCTCATGACCTTAGCAGGTCTGGTTGGTAGGTATGGTGTTGTCTATCTTTCTTGTATCCTACTGTTTCCGAGCGTGTCATGTGGTACGGTAATTAGTCTCATCACTAGCGAATTTTATTGTGCCTAGAGATAATGGTGTTCCTCTCGGCACAACACCATCCTCCAGGTAGAAAAAAACATCCTCTGGATAGTGAGATCCGACACCAACACACACCTCGGCCCTCTCCAGCTCCAAGAAAGGTCCGTATGGGGGTGGGGGGGGGCGTTGCCCCAACGGGAAGTAGCTCTGCGAAGAGGCAGAAGAGATGGTGCGAGGATTGTAACCCACTTATTACGGAAGTTACTCCAATATTTGCCTGGTATTGATCAGAGAAACCACGGAAAACTACGGATCGGAAAAGCCGATCTCTGGAATTCTCCTTCAGATAGAGGTTGAATTCGATCCTGCCATCTATAGCTTGCGTCAACAGGAATGGTGAACTACTTTAAAGGCGTTATGCGCATATGGGGTCACGTGGTTTTCTCCCGCGAACAAGGTTAATGTTTTTCGTTTTGTTGGGAGTGAGGCGAAGACTGGCGAGTCAATTTACCCTTTTGTCAAATGTCAGGTAGTTCGGTCACTAGGTATCCGATTCAGGAAAATAAAAATATGGAAGGTTTTTATCACTGGTTCTGTATGTTTTTTTGGGATGCTGAATTCGAATTTGATGTTTGCCAGTCCTAAAAAGAAAATTGCAAAAAATCCTAGAAATGTCGCATTTGTCTAGGTTTTCTCTTATATCTCGACAATTAGCGCGTCATTGAAATTACCTTCATTTACAAAATTGACCTAACCAAAATTCCCTACAAAGTGCACATTTTAATTTTTTTAATATTTTTTTTCAGGTAGGCTGAAAAATGACTGTTTAACCCTCTGCCTAAAACGAAATAAAATACTTCTACCGAACTATTATCTCGAATAGGCGCTCTAGTTTCCTTAAATCAAGGTTGAAAACGACTGTGACGAACTATTTATTTGCATTATTAAATGATTAACAGTGTGTTAGTTGCGTTACAGTCTGTTAGTAGGATCGCGTTTACTCGCGCTGGATATTTGTATACCCCAGCCTTAGATATCCAAAACATGACGAATACTAGAGGAAAGATATCATATTTTGTTCAATGCAATATGTGGCATGTACCAGTTCATGATGTAAACGAAACAGTAAAACAAAAGAGGAAATTTTAAGTATGAAGGAAAAATGTTAAAACAACAACATATGATCATAAATTGCGAAAAGTAAGTGTTAGAACAAGAAGGAATAGAACTTCACCGAGCATTGCCAACTATTACCATCTGGTTTTGAAAAGAATGTGATTTACCATTTTGTTTTCTCAATGATGCATTCTCCGTGCACGACCATTTGCACTCTCCATGAATATTAACCAGTCGTTGATGTGAAGAAAATGTATCTAAGTCAAAAGCCAGTCCATTATATGAGTAAGAGTCTGGCAGGTAAGTGCGGTCAACTCTAACAGAAGTATCACTGCAATGCAGAGAGGCTTTTTCCTGATCGCAATGTTGATCATGTTTGCTAAGAGACGATACATTCAGTTTGTACGTTAAACGTCTGCATATAGTACAAATAATATAGAGCGATTTTTATAAGAAAGGATCGATTTGACAGACAGTGCTGACAACATAACTGAACGTTCTGTGATCGTTGTGTTCTTGAGTCCATTGAACTATCCTTCCTTCATTCTTTAGTTTGCTGTCGGCTAACTTGCAAATGGATTCGACGCTTTCTTTCGTGATGTCCTCACCGACAAAAATGTAGTTCGTCACGAGAAATAATTGAAATTGGGAAGTGCTACGCTACGTGTTCTTCTGTAAAAAATATATTCTTTATAAACTGTACATTGAATTTAATTTTTGTGTGATAAGTATTGTGTTTATTTTAAAACTAAGCACGTGTTTCCAGCTCATATGCTGTAAGGTGGCGAGCTGTGATCGAAAACGTTTCGTGGTTCCGCGCTTTGCGTTATATATTTATCTTCTATATATAATTACACGATTGTGAACCATGAGAGCCATCAACAAACGAACAACCAAACACTTTAAGCAGAGGCGTGGCTGAACAGCTGCACGGCGGAGGGATACTTCTCTGATCTACATGTGATGTTCACTTGTTTAGCGAACTGTCACTTTGGCTCATTCTTCTATATATTCTAAAGTTAGTGTTGGTTACTATCTCATTTCATAGTCCATGCGAACATTGCTACTTCTGTGAACGCCTCGACAATATTAGAAGTGCGAAGAAATTACTCACCAGCCCAGTCGTTCCGTGAGAAAGACAACTCATTGTTTAGAGAGAGTGCAGAGTTACTGAGCGTCATCACCGTAATAACAAAGTAGTAACCAGATAACCAGATGCTCGTACGGGGAATGCTGAGCCACTGAACTATTTTTCAAAACTTTAACTTTCTTAATTTTTTTTATATTCGTATCAACAGCGTATTTA